GTTCAGCTGCAGTTGATCAGCACCTCCAGGGACTTTTCCAGTTTTCCAGCCCCTCTGTCCCCAGCCTGGGGTGCTGCAGGGGGTTGTGGTGACCCAAGGTGGCAGTGATGCAACCTGAGAGTGGCCACATTTATCAGGAGTGTCCCTTGCCCCGGGGCGAAGTCGCTCACTCCATGAGAACTCCAGGCGGATGCAGATCCTCACTTGAACACAACAGTTTTTTAACCTGCTAAATGTCAGGGAAGGAAATTGCCCACGTTTAATAAGTGTTAAAATAAACTCACGTGACGCACACAGCCCTGCAGTGCTGGGGTGTTTCTCTAGTGCTCACAACAATGGCATTGCTCAGTTGGCACCGTGTTTGTTTTGCTGGTAAGAAAATGATATACATCCTCTTCCTCCTGTGTCCCAGGCACCTTCTCTCACACTCTTGTTCTCTCTTTTTCTTTGTTTTACTATAGTTATTCTTGTACTGTGACATTCTGCTCTTGGCGTGACATTTCCTTCTTGTGTTCAGGTCTTAAATAAATTACTTTTTTTTTTTTTTTTTTTTTTTTTTTTTTTTTTTTTTTTTTTTTTTTTTTTTTTTAAGAGTCTCTCTTTTCATCTTTTGTTCATTCTTCCTTTAAGTTTCCTGCATTGAGCTTTCTGGAGGGGTTCCTGATGTGGGTGAATGTGGCTGAGAACTGTAAAATTACATTTTTCACCCTCAGGGCACAGTGTGTGCCTTGGTACTGCAGGTTGGCTTTAAGGGTAAGAATTACTATGGGAGGCAAAAATCCTCTAGCAGAGGATGTCTTTCCTCTTTATTAAAATTCTATGGAATCTGGTTCTGGTGTCACTCATATCTGCTTTATACTCTGACAGACCTATATGGGCATAAGTTGAAATAAGGGAGGTTCGAACTGGGTGTCAGAAGAAGTTATTAGAATCCCAGAATAGTTTGGTTTGGGAGGGACATTAAGGATCATCCCACTCCAAATACCCTGCAATGGGCAGAAACACCTTCCACTAGACCATTATGCTCCAAGCCCCATCCAACCTGACCTTGAACACTTCCAGGAATGGGGCAGCCACCCCTGGCAGGGTGACCTTTGGCAGGGGGTCTGGCCAGCAGCTGGGGACAGACCAGAGATGAGAGAATCTTCACTAGTACTGATGCAAGACAAACAATTCATCCAAGCTCTGTGACTGGAAACAGCTCCTGCTGGCACGGGAAGCTTGGAGGAGCTTGGAGCCTGCCACGCTGGCTACAAGGTGGGCCAAAAAATGACGACTGCCAGGAGAAGTGCAATCAGCCAGAAACACGCATGGGCTCTGACCTATCTCCCCAGGCCAGCAAGGAGCTTCCTTAAGTACTTCCTTAATGCACCCTGTGGTGCACAGCCCTCGGCACAGCCTGACACGTGCATTTCCTTGTTTTTCTTCCCCTCTGGCACAGCTTTGGGAACATGCTTCTTTGAGTCAATGAACAGCTTGAAGGGGCAGAAGTGGTTCTGCCAGTGGGACACATCCACTGAGATCCTGCCCAAAGGAGCTGGGTTTCTCAGCCCAAGAGATTCCCCCACAACACCCCTAGGGAAAGGTGTTTTTTTTTGGAATAACGTAGTGAAAATGTCCTTCTAAATAATTGCAGGGCTGGTAGCTGGTGCTTGCAGGACTTGATTGATGCTGGTGTTCTCTGTAGGGAGGTTAGTTGATGCTTCCAAGGTATCACATGGGGACCTGGTGTCATTGGATCAAGGAAAAGTCAATCCATAGCTTAAGGCTTCCCAGCACCACCTCCTTTCGCACCAAGCCAGGAGGCTTCTCCATCACCCAAAGTCTTGGAGACCCAGCTGGCTATCAGGAATGACCAGCCAGGACCAAACCGCATCAGGGTGAAGTGTGACTTCTGAGCTCCTTTCAGCCCTATGAGAGAAGGGAGGCAGGCAGTGATGATTCCAGAAACATGACCAGAGGTGCTGCTTTCGGATAAGCTGCTTCTCCTGAGCCTATGGCCTCCTAGCACGGCTGGGCTCCAGCTCATGCATTGAACTCCTACCCATTTCCAATAATCCACGTCATTAGTACATGCAAACAGTGCATTCAGCCCTCGAGTACAATTTCCTTGGAAAAAAACCTGAGATTTTGCTGAAAGGCTTGTGGGGAGGAGGCTACTGTACCAGTCTGGGCACTCCACTACCAGCTCTGCCCGTGATGCCAACACAGCTCTTGTCACCTCTCTGTAACATCCCAGCCTTGCCAAAATCAACAGGAATTTTGTCCCAGACTTCACTGGAGCCAAGACGGTGCCCTTTGCATCCATCTGCAGCTCCCTGTGAGCTCTGACAGACCCTCTTGCCAGGCACCTGTTTCATAGCCACCACCTCTGTCCTCCCCTCCCCTTCCTGCTATTAAGCCCTGACTTGCATTACCTCAAAAGCTTCCCTGCCAGAAAAACTCTTCAATCCAAGGAACTGGTGAGGATTGAAGAGGGTTGGCTAATGTTTAAGGTATCAAAAGGAAAAGCTATGAGAGAACAGCAAGTAATATGAAGACAAACAACCCCCCCCACCACCACCACTTTAAAAGCACTCAAACTGTGACAGAAGGATAAAACGTGAGCCATCTGTGGTTCCCTTCCATACAAATTTCCTCCCTGCTTCAAAAGCAGGATACTGACAGTAATTACCCCAGTGACACAACCATGGTCCCCTCTGTCGTCTTGTTTACGAGGATCCCAGACCTGTGACACACAACCCTCCTCGTCCTACGCAGGCAGCGCTGCCACCAGCCAAAAAGGAAGAGCCCTTGGCTTTGATCTCCAGGCAAAAAGTTGAGGCTTAATCATAAAAAAAAGGAAATAACTCGCTACTCACACAATGTTGGTGCAAAATATGAGTCTCTCCTGCCAAGGGCAGAGACCCAGAGCAGCTCTCCCGAGGTTAGTTGAGGTGATGATCCCACCCTGGGTGGGATTCCCAAGATGGATGCTGCTCCATGCACTGATATGACCACCTGGTGAGGTTTATGGTGTCTTTCTCCCCAATTTTTTCCCCTTTTCATCAAGAAAATGACTGCACAAAGGGAACACCTTCCCTTCCTTGCCAGCAACACAGAAATTAACCTTGTCAGACAACAGACCTGCGGCGACAAAGGGCAGATTACCAGCCCGGTTTTTTGATAAAAACAGGGGTTGGTTAACACTGTCAATTGCTCTATAAAATCAAAACATACTTTCACACGCTTAATCTCATTGATAAGGTGGAAGTTGTGCAGGCTGGGAACAGTTTGCTCAGGGTTTAATGTTTGACTCGTTAGAAGTTTGACCAGATTTGTGTATTTTCTACATTTGGAATAAAAAGCTGAGACGAGAACATTTTATCTCTTTCCCACTCCCCGGGTGACCAAATGCAGCTCACATCAGCACCTTGGCAATACAAGGACTTCATTTATAGTCCATGACCTTGAGGTGGAACCCCAGAATCATGGAATGTTAAAGGTTGGAAGGGACTGGAAAGATCTAGTCCCACCCCCCTGCCTTGGGCAGGGACACCTTCCACTAGTCCTGGTTGCTCAATGCAACCTGACCTTGAACACTACCAGAGTTGAGGCATCCACAACTATCCTTATTTTAGCCCCAAATCCTAATTTTACCCCACTTTGAGCAAGTCTGTGATTGCCCAGCCCCAACAGGACATGTGTTGCCATGCTCTGCCCTCACTCCCTGCCTTGTCACTGCTGTGTTGTGCCCCCCTCACCCCATCCCACACCCCAAGGCCCTATGTCCCACACCCCATGGTGACAGGGGCCCTTCTCTGCTCCCCATGCCCCTCCTGCAGCCCTGGGCCCTATCAGCCACCCCCACGCCCCTGAACTTCGCCCTGTGCCTTACCCCTCCTCCCCAGGCC